CGCGTACGTACGTGTAAGTGCGCATGCGCGACTTCTTTGCATGCTTCATGCATGTGTGCTAGTCTGACAACCGTGGCAACCATGGATCATCAGTCTACAGAGGATGCCCTTCGTCGTCGAAGAGAGCGGGAAAGACAACGTCGTGCCGGTGAGACTCCTGATCAGAGAGAGGCTCGGCTTTCTCAACGCCGACTGCGTGATAGGGAACGGGCTTCTCAACGCCGACTGCGCGATAGGGAACGGGCAAGGGAACGCCTCGCGGCCGAAACAGCGGAAGAAAGTGCTCAACGCCGACTGCGTGATAGGGAACGGGCAAGGGAACGCCTCGCCGCTGAAACAGCAGAAGAAAGGCAAGCACGACTAGCGAGACGTCGTGTACGAGAAGAGCTAGACGCGCTGCAGAAACAGGGGAAACTGAACAGGCTAGGCACGCACAGCTCCGAAGCTACCAGGCAAGGATGATGGATGGCTCTATATACCCAGATAGTCTTGAGGTTATGCGTCAGGACTTCTACGCGCTGCTAGGATGGCTCGTGCAGATACAGTCATTGTGTGCTTGCTCCCGCTCGCCATGCATTCGCCTACTATATAGTCGTTTTACGTTTATACGCAGGCGTAACGTTGTGACAAAACCGTTACGCTAAAACGGTGAGCGCGCGCGTCTTGCCCAGTTTTAGTGGTAAGCACACAGACACTTCTACCAACAGATATTGAGATATTAATTTTAAACTGCACGGACAATAAAACAGTGCATCAGAGCAGCAGTAGCTAGGAGTGTTGCTATAGCAGTGGTTGCGGCAGTATCTGTGAGGTGTGAGTTGAGGGAAGGTGGTAGGAGTGGGGAGGGGGGAAGGTGGACGAGGGGAGGGAGGGAGGGGGCTGTGTAGTCATGGACACTGCTGGCTGGTAGGATGGCGGAGCAAAGGAACTGCAGAGTAGGAACAAGTAATCAAACACACACACGTAAGAAAGAGACATTAGGACTTGTGATCCTTCTAGAGTCCATACAACAGAACAAGGAAGTTAACAAGATGGCAGCTGTTTGTTAGGGTCCATATTGGTCAAACACAAAGGATCTGTGAGATTCAATCAGAGTCCGGAAAGAGATTAAGCAAGGCTAAGAATCGCCACAATCAATACGGTGTTCAAAGTGACACACCTTGGTTGCTGTAGGTGAGGTTGAACCACAGTCAGCGGCTGTTGTTGGTACTTCAGACTAGTGAGAGGTTGCTGCACACTCACTCCACCTGCCATCTGTGGTGGACACATTCATGATAGGCTACAAACAACACTTGGAGTTTCCTACTATACTTAGAGACAATGGATCTAGTGGTATGTATGTACACACTCCAACTCCCAATTCTGATTATTATACTACATAGCTACCCTACAACAAAGTCAACTGCAATCAGTGGACAATGTCATACACATACAGTATGCATTTCCACTTCTAACATGTTATCGATGTCGATGTTCAAGTAAAAATGTTAGAGTTATTAGGCCCTAACTAAAGAGGGCACATCAATATTATGTACCTCATGAGTTGCTGTGTATTGCCGGGGATTGGTGGAATAGACTGTGTACTGGTGCTCTGTCCCCATTCCGGTCTGCGGTGGAGCTGTCGTCATTCCATTCTGCTGGACCCCAATAGTCAGTACAGACTGCTGTCCCGGAAACACTGTGTCCCCGTTCCATGCTGAACCTGTGTCCCCATTCCAGATTGCTGCATCCCCATTCCAGACTGAGGAGGTAGAGACTGGAATGTGGCCGGAGGCTGTATTCCAGTGTACTGTGGCTGCATCCCGATTCCATTCTGGAGAAATTGCTGTGTCCCCATTCCAGACTGGGGGTGTGGTGGGACCTGGTGATTACTCATGGAATGTGTCTCGTGCGTCGTCATTCCGTGCTGCTGCCCGGGTTGGGAATAGGATGACATCATAGCAGGCGTGGCAATATCAGACAACCTTGGTCCTTCGGCCAGCATTCTAGATACAAAAGTACAATGTACAGTTATGTATACTTAGTGTACTCTGTCACAAAACATCAAAGGAAAAGGGGTGCTTTATTTGCCATAATGTGCACTGCTGCATTGTTCAGGCAGTGCTTTATTGTGCACAATACAGTTTCCTAATATGGCTCATAGTTTAGACAACACTGTTTGACAAATGCAGAGAGTGACAGATTAGTTGGAAATGCGAAATGCACGAAACGGCATACACCAAATCTGCGTCATGGCTCATCAACAGGTCAGACGGAACCGAATCGGTAGAAGAGGAGGGCCCTTTGGCTGCGTTCTCTAGCTCTGCAGTACTCACGGGCTCAGATTTGTGGTGCTCTCGCAGAGGGCGCGCTTCCTTGCCAAGAGAGAGGCGTAGCCTTTTCTTGGGAGGAGGAGGCTGTACCGACGTTTCCTCCGGCTCCTCCGCCCAGTGTCCCAGGCCCAAGTCAAACGCTTCATAGCATCGCGCTGACTGAACCGCCATTTTTCCACTTCGCTTTTTAAACGCTCCGGAATGCGTCTCGAAGCCTAATAAAGCATTCGGCTGCGCCTCGTGTTTATTAGCCTCTCTACGCATTCCTCGTACGTTATATCCGGTAGTGCACTCGTGCGGGTACATTAACTAATACATATAATGTGCTGTTCTGACTTTGACCATTTCACTGCTTCTAGTATATACATGTTGTATGTATCTCCTGTAAGCTGTGTGTACACCAAGTGCTCTCTTACACATGTGTGTCGGTACAGTACACCTTCTCTACCCAAACACACTACAAGATGGAGTTCTTTATCCAGACCATTTTAACCCTTTCCCTCCCTCTCTATATGCCTCCTTAAAAAGGTTTGGCACGAGACTGCTACACTGTTAGATAGAAATATTGTACACCACACAGTAACAGTTATCCGTTTTAAGCCTTTCTCTCTCTCCCTCCCGTAACCTACTGTATGTTCATAACCTGTTTTTCTTATGGCATACTATGCATTGAGTAACCAACAACAAATTCCGTGACTCAAAACTTAGTCTTATATGAAGTAATAAGGATAGAGACTGACTTCCTGTAGAGATCCAGAGCTTCGTTGAACTGAGACGAGACACTCTGCATGGCCTCCTCCTGAGCTGTCAGCTGCTGAACGGTCTGCTCAACCACCGACCGCATACTCTGGACCTCACCTGGGGAACATTACATCATCATTACATCATAACTAGAACGAACACCACGAGCGAGGGAGAGCAGTTAAAAATTTAGCGGATGCTATGGTGACGAGATAAAGAGAGGATCTGACAGTGTATTTTCCACCCCTTCCCCCAACTCACTCTCCAGTTCCTTCACCGTCTTGCTCTCCTCTCTACTGGTGTCCTTCACGTCTGCACTCTTTAGCATGTCTAGCAGTAGATCCACCTTCTGTTCATTGACCACACCCTCTGCCCCACCCACATTAATTGGTCTGGCGCTGTTGGTTGCACTCACTCCAGTCTTAGTCTTTTTCTTAGACTTTTTCTTCTCCTGTGTAGCTGTGGAAGAGAGATGGGCTGAATCACTCATACAGAGCAAGGCAGAACACTCTGTGTTCTAGAGAGGGCTCTACCAACTGAGCTACTGAGGCAGCTCAGTTGGCTGGGCCAAATCACTCATACAGAGCAAGGCAGAGCACGCTGTGTTCTAGAGAGGGCTCTATCAACTGAGCTACTGAGGCAGCTCAGCTGGCTGGGCTGAATCACTCATACAGAGCAAGGCAGGGCACTCTGTGTTCTAGAGAGGGCTCTACCAACTGAGCTAGTACTAAGGCAGCTCAGCTGGCTGGGCTGAATCGCTCATACAGAGCAAGGCAGAGCACTCTGTGTTCTCCACTAACAAAGCCACTCACAGGGTTCTGGATCTTTGTTGAGATTCTTGGAGACAAAGGAGGCTGGGAAGAGACCTTGTCCTAGCTGTGTCTCTCCCCTCCACCAGTTCTCGTCAGAGTCATCCAGGAGTGTGACAATCTCCCCTGGGAGTGGGTATGGCGATTGGTTGATGCACATACATACAGTGAGACCTCTGAATATGGGACACCTTTGGGACAGTGAAAGTGTCCAGAGGCAACCCTTACTAAGTCTACTATAATATTGTGTTGTCAACAGTGAGACCTCTGAATATGGGACACCTTTGGGACAGTGAAAGTGTCCAGAGGCAACCCTTACTAAGTCTACTATAATATTGTGTTGTCAACAGTGAGACCTCTGAATATGGGACACCTTTGGGACAGTGAAAGTGTCCAGAGGCAACCCTTACTAAGTCTACTATAATATTGTGTTGTCAACAGTGAAACCTCTGAATATGGGACACCTTTGGGATCCTGAAGTGTTGCTTCATTCAGAGGTGTCCCTTATTTAGAGGTAAAATGTTTTACACTAATGTATTGGTATGGGGCAGAACCAAGTGTGGTTTAGAGAAAGGTGGGCTTCATTTGGAAGGTCCTTTTTTCGAGGTTGCACTGTATAGACATTACACTAACTGAGAGGTATGTAGAAAGAGAAAATGAATAGCTAGCGTCCATACTTACCAGCTCTGAACGACAGCTCATTGTCCTCAGCTGCTTGAAAGTCATATATGGCCCTCACCTTCCTAGCCTGTCACAGCCAGAAATAAACAGCAAGTGTATGGTTATTATACGAACAGTCAGAGATTTAGGTACTGCATTTACATTATAGGTGTACTGCATGTTGAATCACTGAAATTGCAATGTATGTATGTGACAACAATGAGGAGGAGGAGGGCAAGGCAAAGGCAAAGCAAACAAGTCAACTACACAACAGGACAAACATTACTCCTTTTTCAAGCAAAAAAGAAAGGCTGCCCTGGGTGGGATTCGAACCTGCTGTCTAGGCAAGAGCTCTCACAGCACTCTGCTGTCGAGGTGAGCGCTCTACCAACTGAACTATACACAACCCTACCAACTGAGCTACCAGGGCAACTCGGCTGGTAGGGATTCGAATCTTCAACACAACACACAACACAACACAAACAAGGCAAACCTCAAACTATGCTATGGCACAGTATACTCTCATATACGTTAAAATCTTTTATTGCGGTTTACATTGCACGAAGTGAAAATGTATGAGAGTTTTAGGCTCACTTCTTTCTTGACAGGCCTCGAGACAGAGACAGAGGGAGAGGAGGAGGAGGAAGAGGAGGAGGGTGGTGGGTTAGTGGAGTCCTGCAGGGACAGCTGGATAGCTGGGAGATGGAGGAGGGGGGAGGAGGAGGAAGAGGAGAAAGAGGGGAGAGAAATTATGAAAATAAGGAAAGAAATATAAGAGGGAGAAGTGTGTAAGGTTCCAATGGGCAAGCAATCTGATTAAAGAGTTCTAAACTCTCTGATTACATTGCAGGGAGCCGACATCGTTCATTATCATTGGAGAATTCTTTCTTGAAGAAAATGAAAATGATGTGGTGAAAGGGTACGGAAAGGAAGATATGAGGAAAGGTTTGTTAATCAATCGTTCAAATGAGCAAGTAATCTACAATCTGTGAAAGATATTTCAACAAAACACTGATTCAATGGGGTGAGCCTACATCATTACAATTGGAGCATTTATTCGTATGTATTATAGAGTCCTTTTTCAAAGGTTCCACTGATGAACGAATGGAGAGAGAGAAGAGGAGGAGAGAGATGATGGTTGAACTAACCTTTCCTCAGGTCGTCCTCCTCCCTGCTGGTCTGAGTGGTCTGGGCGGTGGCGGGAAAGGGAGAGGAGGAGGAGGAGAGGGTGGAGGAGGGCGGGGCAGCTGCTGGGGTCGAGAAATTGACTCCATCGCGACGCAACTGCTCCATGAACTTGTGAAGATCCCTGAGAATGTGAGGAGGGCGAGAGGGAGTACCTAATCCTACTTATCTCGCCTTTTCCTTCATTCCTGACAAGGGTTTGAACTGTTTTGCATTTTTTGCAGGGACGTGAGTAAACGAAATGACAAACCAACCATCCCTGATACTTTGACTATAGTTGGAGGTTGGAATAGCAACATTACTTCACCCCATCTCTTGGGTTTTTAATTTAACTCGTTTGGGGCCAAAGAATGTAAGGATCACATTTCATCAATGTTATCCAACCCGTAACTTTCAACTACTATGCATTGCACACCATTAAAAGGCACACACTTTATCGCAAATTTAGCTAAATAATTCTCAACACTAAACCATTCCACACTGACAATCACAAAATTTGCTATAGGGCCCATTCTAAAATTCTCAGACTAGAAGAGGGAGCTACTGTATATATATATATATCACATAGAGAGAGGGCTTGGCTGCTCACTTCATGTGAGGAGCAGATTTGAACTCTGAACTCCAGCTGAGGAGTAGTTCCTTAAGTCTCTGGGCCACTTTCGCATCCGTGTACCTCTAATAGAGGGGGAGGGGGGAGGGATGTGGTGGTGAAGGAAGAAGAAGGAAGAGGGAGAGAAGGAAGAGAAAAAGATAATGTGTGTGAAGACATATGAGACTACTTACTATTACATTTCTACTCTCCTACTCTCCTTCTATGTGTGTGTTGGTGTTCATTCCTAGAGTGTTTCACTGCACAGTGTCTGCCTCTCCTTCCTGGCTCCATTCGTTCGGGGCTTTAACACTCTTCCCCTTATCCCAACCTTATGGAGCACACTACAGTGGAACCTGACACTATGGGGCCGACAATTTTGTCCCTTGTAGAGAGGTCGTCCCTATCTTGGAGGTCAAATAATACACTAAAGTATTAGCATGGGGTTGAAACAGGTGTCCTTTGTAGAGAGGTCATCCCTATCTCGGAGGTCAAATAATACACTAAAGTATTAGCATGGGGTTGAAACAGGTGTCCTTTGTAGAGAGGTCTGAGGGTCTCTTATCAGAGGTTCCACTGTATGTAAACCAAAGTACATCGACGCCCCCTCTCTCTCACCCCAAGTAAGATGCTCTTGATGTCGGTCTGAAAGAACTGGGTGGTGAGCTCCTTTTGGAAATCTTGTCCACAGTTACTGACGCACGCCTCCAACAGCTGCAACAAATGTCACATGATCTAGTGTTAGTAGTCACGTGACTAGTCCAATTTAACCTCTACCTGCCTCGATAAGGGTTGTACATATGAGAGCATGGCTTTTCGTATTTGTTCTATTTAATGCACATTTGTAACGAATTGTAAACGAATCGTATATTTCATCCACGCTGTGCACACAAAATGAATGCATACATGTGATTTGTACTAGGGACTGGAATGCTATACACTGTATATTACATAGATGTATGTAATAATGTATGCCAATGTACAGTATAATTTACTCACAGTGAGGGCGTGTATCTGGACAGCTGGGTTGCCGTGTTTGACTCGTTTCATGACAGACTGCATCGCCTGGTGCATCCTAACCACACACACACAACCATTATGCAGATTTAACACTGCAGTTCTCAGAAAAAGGATCCTTGCACGCTGTGTAGCTTTGTACAGTTGACGTACGTACATTATAACACTGTACTTCTCAAAGGGCCTCTGCTAGCGTAGCAGTTGACATAAAGGGCTTTGCTAGGATTATAGGTGTAATGAGGTTGAGTGGCAATTCAGCTGCACGTGGTGGACCAAGCTGCTTACACGTTACACTGTCTACTATTACATAACATTAGCGCATAAGCATACATGTACACTGGCACAGATGTATGTGTAGCTGAAAGCTGTGAGCACATATAAATGTTGCTACGTATGACGGTTACTGGATGCAAGCACCAAAAAGCACTCTGACACATACACACAAGTCCACTAGATACACAACGAGTACACTAGATACACAACGTCCCATAATGCTTGCTTGTTTGGCTCGGCTATCTTGTCTATATACACAGCATTAAGTTGAGTCGCATTATCTGAGTGTGCAACCAACGGCCCTAGTGCTACGGCTTTTATTCCCTTTACACTAGCTCACTGGGCAATAATACAGTATAACCAATAGGAATACAACCTGCTTTTTTAATATACACACCATTATTTTTAAAAAAACGGTTGCACTGCATAAAAATTATACAGGCCCTTATTAATACAGCTGGCAAGTATTAAAGGCTCGACTGCTACACTAGCAGTAATGTTGAAGACTTTTTTTTATTGCTGGGGGGACAATCAGCCCCCTAGGAACATTATATGGTCCCAATACCAGCACACCGGCTATTTGGGGGATCAAAGTGTCCCCTGGGAAGCATATTCAGGGGACAAATGAAGAGATAGAGGGACTATGTACCCCTGGTGCACTCTGGTATATACCAGCCCCTGTAGTTGTACTCACGAAGTAGGGCCGACTGAGTCCCTTATTCTGTTGCAGAGCTTTATTATCTTGTCCCAGTCCGCCTCTCCCACGCCACCCGTGGCCGACACTGCGAAGGGGTAGGAGAGGGGAGGGAGGGAGGGAGAGAGAGAGAGATAAAACATGGGGGAAGGTGGGAAGAACGGCCAAGGAAGAAGCTACATTGTCGAAAACAAGAATGAAACCTGGGAACACTACTCACCAACGTCTGAGTCGTAGCTCATGATTCTGCTCGACCTTACAGTCAACTCTAGGGAACACGGTTGGTTCTGAGGATCGCGAGAAAGCAGTGAAGATCGACGCTACTGTTGTTACGGAAATCAAGGTTTGTGTGGAGTCACGGTCACATGACAATCAGCCGGAAGTGACGGCAGGAACCGGAAGCAAACTGGAGATTGGGATCTCGGGATCGGAACCTGTAAAATGGAATGAGGCAGAATAATAGGGGCGTATCTGCTATCACTTGCGAGGCTAGCTAGCTTTCTGCAGCGAGGGTCGTACTGATTTAGCTACCCGTCGAGTAAAGCAACAGAAGCACTGCTGAGAATGAGGGTTCTAATTGTGTTTTCTTTGAGCCTCCTCTTGTGTCTGGTGGATGTCCACTCTCAGACGGTTCCTTACGTCTCCTTCATGAGCCAGACTCTGGCCAACCATTCCTATGTGGACCTCAGTCAAGTGGGGAGACCTGATGTTCCTAATGGTGGTGAAGGTGTTCAGTGTATCACTGACCTGAGCACATGTTGTAATAGTAGTCAGGGTTCCATCGTGGAGACTGGTATTTCCCTGATGGAACTAGACTGCCTTTTCTGCATCTGATGTTGATACCTATGAGGCTCGTTTATCTCGGAGAGTTGACATACGTCGTAACACTAATGCTAACTCACCAACTATTGGTATCTATCGCTGTGATATTCCAACTAATGCTGTCCATGATGATACTGACATCTCGGTGAGAGACACAGTCTATGTCGGACTATATACTGCCAGTGGAGGTAGGTTAATTAGGCACTAATCAGATTATATTAACTAAGGCTAATTGTTATGCAGGAAATATCACAATATCAGGAAGTATAGTACTGACTGTTGACTCAGACCTCAATGGAGCCAGTCCTCAGTTCACCCTGGCCTGTATCTCCACTGGTGGACCTGCTACCACTGTCACTTGGACCAGAGACTCCACCACTGTCACCCAAGGAACAACTGAGACTGTGTTGAATGACCCAGTGACTGCACAGTACACCCACACTCTGACTGTGACTGGGAGACTACCTGGAATCTACACTTGTACTGTGGCTAATAACAAGCCTTCTTCTGCAAATGCAAGTATCACAATTGAAGGTAAAGTGCAAGTTAACTAAGCTACCATTTTTGAAAGACAAATATTTTTTCAGTCCACAATAGCTGCTTGGGAGTGAGGTAAAAGTCCACAAAAGCATTAGGTATTTGGTGGCATCAATTGATTCAACCACACCCATTATCAAATGGAAGAATCATAGCCAGCAAACATGTACATTCAGCATAATGAATACACTGCTGTCAGTGTTGACTATGATCCTGAATATTCACACTGGGATACTATATCCATTCCAGTGGCTTCAGCCCCCACTGACCTAGCGGCGAGTCGACCTACGGCCACAAGTATTGAAGTCACTGGACCCCTCCTCCCCTGGGAGACGCCACCAATGGCTATATCATCTACTACACCAACACTCTGTCAGGGTCTACTGATAGTGTCAATATCACCGGACGCTCTACTAATACCTACACCCTCACTGGTGTTTCACCCTACTGCAGAGTATAACATATCTATTGTGGCTACATCACAACACTTTTTCAGCGACCCTGTGTCCATCTGTAAGTTTTAATCAGCATCAGCATTCCTTTATATTTTCCCTCTGGGGGAATGTTAAAGATTGCCAGTCATAAAACCAACATTTTCGTAAAATCCCTATTCCTTTCATTACCTTTCCGTATAATCCCTGATCAATGGCAATTTTCTGTAGGATGATATCTGTTACTTTTGTCAAGAATTGAATGTGTGCGACTATGTTTTATTTTAAACGGCGTAAGAACAAACATGTTACTGAACTGATCTCTTTCCTCTCTCTCCCTCTCCCACTCTCCTGTGTATCAATAGTTATAGCAGTGTTCTTGGGTCAGCCGTTTTTCCAGACTTTAAGTGCCGACAAAACTACCATTACTCTGAGCTGGGCGGTCCCCAGTGGCTCTGTAGTGACTAGCTACGTTGTTTCGTGGGAGAGAGACTCATCAATGGGGTGCCCCTACGAAGACGAGGGTAGTATGACTATTTCCACCTCTGACGAGAGCTACAATACAACAATATCTGGAGTCCAAGAGGACAGTGAATACTTTGTCAGTGTGACTGCAGTCAATTCAGATGACAATACTACCAGTAATATCACCACTGTCTCAACTGATGAAGACAGTAAGTACCTAGCTACCAGATACTTTGCTGCACAGTTCACAGTTTTGCTATCCACATTATACAGTAGTGTTTTGCAATTTCTCACTGCATCGCTTTTAGTGCATTAAACTGCTTCAACTCAATATTCACCTTTTTTTATTTCCTCAGTTCCCTCAGGTGCACCGATGGATGTTACTCTAACGGACTTGACGTCCACATCTGTCTCATTTCAGTGGGGCTCAGTCGAATGCATCCATCGCAACGGTCAAATCACTGGTTACTCCATCAACTATAATATACAGGGCAGCTCTGGGAGTACATCTGTTCTAGTGACAGTCAATTCTCCGAGTGATGGTGGGACATACACAATCATTGCCTTGGAACCTTCAGAGATGTATATGTGGAAATTGCCGCCCAAAACACCATTGGAACTGCACTGAACACATCTGGTTTTACCATACTTACTCATGGTAGGTAGCTACATGAAGTCTACTTTTAAGACCTCTATACAATTAATTCTTTCTCAGTGCATATAATGCGCATGTTGAAGTAGAAGTTAAGTAATGTTAAGAGGTTGATTTGGAGTGGTTTTGCTTGAAAATGCTCCCTCTCTAAGGACACCCCTGAAATGAAGACACTTGGACGTCTAATAAGGACACCTTTTCTTCCCTATATAGACAAGCTTCTTGCTTTAACAAATGAAAGACTAACATTTACCATACCATTGTGTTAACTTTCCATTGTCTAATCTTGAAACAGTGTTAGTGTTTAAGTCTACAGGTGTATTTTCTCTTTCTATCTCCTTCTCTCTCTGGCTACAGTTGGAGTCCCAGTTCTGTCAGTGGGCAGCTTAACCCCAGTCTCAGTAGATCTCCAGTGGACCAGTTCTGGCCAGCAACAAGTCACCTACCAAATCTCTCTACAGAGGGACACTTCCATTGGGTGTCCTTTTGAAGATAGCAGAAATCTCACAGTGACTAATGGACTTACTGCGGCACAGGTGTCCGGGCTACTGGAGGACAGTAGGTATTTGTTTACTGTGACAGCCTCTAATCCAGCCGGTAGCAGTGAAGTCAGTAACACTGTGGCGGCAATGACTGAGAAGGCAGGTGAGGGAAGAACAGGTACTAAGGCCAATATAATTATACGGCACAACTTGTTGGATAATATGTGTTTGATGGGCCCACGCAACATGTTGTGTATGCCATATATAGCACTACTTGTTGCATGGACTGTCATGCCCATACGCTAAAGTTGTGAGACATTATGATGCAACAACTGTATTTGCGCCATGTATGAAAGCCTTGAAGTATAATTATAGACTTTTGCGCAACCGTTCAAATGTTTTTTGACTTTGTAAAGTGTATTTGCGTGCAGCCTTGATGAAACCTTCTCTCTTTTCAGCTCCTTCTGCTACTCCCACGTCTGTTGTGGCATCATAAATTGCTCCGTTAAAAATCCGAGTTGTCTGGGGTCCTGTGGAGTGTATTCATCGCAACGGAGCCATCACCAGCTACCGAGTCTGCCACACAAACCTTGACACACTCTCAGAGATTTGTGCCCCTTCGTCTGGTGACGGTGCCACCAGTCTCGATATTCCTGTCAGTTCTGCTGCTCTCTACTCTGTTCGAGTCGCAGCAGTCAATGATGTAGGGGAGGGCCCCTTTAGTAATGAAGTCCAGATTGAAGTTGTAGCACCAGGTGAGCCTCTTACAGAGTATTCTCACTAAAGAGGTTTTCTCGATATTCCAATGTGCCATTTTGTAAATGCTCTTAAGGACATTCGAGTGTTCAAAATGTAACTAGGTTTTAGCTCCTTATAGTTACAGCTCCACCTTCTTTTGATACACTATAACTTTGGCAGAGACGAAAGTATTGTTTCAGGCATTATAACTTCATTTCTCCACAGTTCCGGGAGCGCCAAAGGACGTGCAGGTGGTGGAGCCAATTGGACAGAGAGAGGTGGAGATTCAGTGGTCCGACCCTGTCTCCCCCGCCCCTGTCATTGGCTATAATCTCGCCTGTACCCCGACCCCTACCTCTCCGCCTCCCACATTCTCCGATCCTCCCGTGGTCACCTATACACTGACTGGACTGACACCAGCTACTGACTACAGCTGCTCCCTGGTGGCCTTTAATGACGCTGGCAGTGGACCCAGTGTCACCATTTCTTTCACCACACTACCAGACTGTGAGTTGATAAGAACTTAACTCGGCAAATTTAATCACGGAAGTTCTCTTTTTTGCCAATTAGATGGCTCTTTAGAGATACAACTGAGTGGTCTAATTGTGTGCTCAGAATGGCTGGTAAGTTTAATCTCGGAAAGGATCCTTCAAATAAGGAAACTCTTCTGCCCCATACTAATTAGTACTATCTTTGAATAAAAGTCACACTGAAAAGAACTTTCAATGTCCCTACTCTTATTCAGAGTTTCCCTGTAGCTATCTCAAAGATTATTCACAAAAACCAAGGATCAATAACAATTCTTTTGCATACTATGATGAACCTTATTTACTCTGTTCATGACAGGTGTTCTCCACCAGCCAAAAGATTCAGGACGTATCAGACACCATCAACGAACAACTAAACACTCTTTGCCCCCAGTGTCAACTCAATGGGCAAGAAATATCCAACGCAACACTCGAGTGTCTCAGCGAATCGCCCAACTCTGTCATTTTCGGTGCAGTCATCAGTGGAACTGCAGACAAAGACAGTGGCGGTCTACTTGAAGAACTTAGTGCCTGGATTTCAACGTCCCCCAGTATCCGTGTGCTTGGAATGTTGATGGGACTAGGGGACCAGTGTAGTTCAGTAGTGTCTGATCTCAGTGGTAACATCTGTGACTCTCCCCCGCCCACCCAGCCACCAACTGCCACTGAGGCTAATAGGGGAGCCTCCTGTAATATCAGTGAAACGACGGTGTCTTCAGGAAGTGTGGGCTTGAGTGTGGGAGTTGGAATTGTAGCAGGTTTGTAATCTTATTGACAGTTACTCTTGTCGTGGTAATACTGACGATAACTACACCAGATGTTGCAAATAGTATTTCAGTCCTCTTAGTGGTGATATACAATGCAGGTTGCATGGTCATAGAAATCTTGCCCATCATAAATACTCTTCATCTTTTAAAACTCTGCTCCTTTTCTGTGGCTGCGTAGTGTCCTCTTGTATTCATCTTCCTCAATTTCTTCATACTTTAAGCAGGTTACTTTTGTTTGTAGTCTGACTCTCCATGGTTACAGTGGAACTTTTCCTCATTTTTTGCAACTTCTGTGTATGGTGCATACCTCACCACTATTTCGGTCATTTTTTACTCTTCATGGTAACGGTGGTCATTCCCTTGCAGCGGTACTGTACATCACCACTGAAGAGGGAATTAGTATTCAGTTTCGAATCCTTGCATCTTGTATGGTAGCTATACATAACTAACTGAAGAAGACAAAGTATTAATTATTCAGTCAAACAACTTACTTTGACTGGAGTAGTATAGTATACTTAGAGATATCACTGCTAACTATCTTTGGAGCAGGTTTAGCAGTGTTGCTGGTGGCTGGAGCTGCGTTTCTCATTCCGTTCTGCATCATGAAATACAGACGACGACGCATGCAGAGCTACCTCATAAAGAAAACTAGAGTAAGTGTCTTTTTTTAGCTTTTTGAAGGTGATGCTAAGCATTTTCAACTCTCTTTGTCTCAGGTCGCATAGTAATTCAAAACTCCCATTAATAATATTTCCACTCTTCAAGTAATTCAAGGGGTTAAAAATTCCCAAAGCATTAATTTAAGATAGCAAAGTAATTACGGCATGTAGCTTGCTTCACTCAATGGATACTGCCTTTGATCGACAGCATGTCCCGAAGCGATATGCTAATAGTCTTAGTGTCAGCTTCATACACTGTCTCTCTTTATTTACAGTGCTATGGACACCAGCTCCAACACGGCCTATGGTATGACAGTCTTCAATAGAGCTGCTGCCGTCAACACCAGCTCTGACCAGGACTATGATGTCATCACTTATTGTCGTCCACAAGACACACACCCTGCCCTCCCTCGTCGAGAGTCAGCAGGGCAGGGCGGCAACGCTAGCTATGAAGTCAGCACCCCTACCAATATCAGACAGATGAGGGTCAGGGAAGCTCAGAGATCAAAGAGGATTTGCAAGAGGAAGAGAAGGAACTGTACTCTGAAATACCCACTAACATGTGAATAAACGTTGTGTTCGTTTTTTGTTGATGTAGCTTTTTCATTTGGCGCATGCGCGCGCAAATTTTCCGGGGGCCGCGGGGGCATAGGAATGGAATGGGGCTGATCAATGGGGGCGTATCTGGTTTGGCATTTGCTCGCTCCGCCGCAACAGTCTATCCGCGTATATTATACCACAGAGCTGGGGTTTATCGCGCTAGAACCTTGCAACTTCAGATTTATAGAACGGCTGAAAACTATGAGGACGTTGATTCTGTTTTACCTGAGTCTCCTACTGTTGATGGAGGTCCACTCTCAGACCTTTCCTCATGTCTGTTTCATGGACCAGACTCTGGCCAACCATTCCTATGTGGACCTCAGTGAAGTGGGGAGTGATGAGAGTGGTAGTGACAGCGTTTTGTGCTATACTGACCTGAGTACATGTTGTACTAGTGCTCAGAGTCCAGTTCATCGTGGAAACTGGTATTTCCCTGATGGAGCTAGACTATTATTCTCTTCCGATGTTGGTGATATCTATGAGCAACGTGCAGCTCAGAGAGTTGATCTACGTCGTAGGAACAATGCTAACTCACCAACTGGTATCTATCGCTGTGACATCCCTACTAATGGTGTCCATGATGATACTGACATCTCGGTGAGAGACACAGTCTATGTGGGACTATATACTGCCAGTGGAGGTAGGTTTAATAGGCACTAATGCAGATTATATTATAACTAATGCTCATTGTTAATCAGGAGATATCACGATATCAGAAAGTATAGTACTGACTGTTGACTCAGACCTCAATGGAGCCAGTCCTCAGTTCACCCTGGCCTTTATCTCCACTGGTGGACCTGCTACCACTGTCACTTGGACCAGAGACTCCACCAATGTCACCCAAGGAACAACTGAGACTGTGTTGAATGACCCAGTGACTGCAGAGTACACCCACACTCTGACTGTGACTGGGAGACTGCCTGGAATCTATGCTTGTACTGTGGCTAATAACAAGCCTAATTCTGCTGCAAATGCAAGTATCACAATTGAAGGTAAGCTTGCTCCACAAAACAATCCCTATTGCAACATTATTTTGGTTCGTATTTTTCTGCATCAGGGTTGCACTGCTTTCATAACTTGCCGTGTTTCATTACGTATTATGGATGCTGTTTATTGCTCCCTATCACACAATGTTCTATAGAAACAGGCTATCATAATTTGTGTGACTATGTTTGCATGTGGATGCCTGCATTGCTTCTTTGCAAATTCCTTCAATAAAGTAGCATGATACATATTACACACCCAATAATACACAAACATAATCTTGCAAATAATCATGAGGCCAGGAACGTGCACACCAGGTGCCGTGTTAGTAAAATTCATTAGTTGACGAATATAGTGCTCTTGCTATGATTATTCCAGAGGCGTCACCTCCCACTTCTCTCTCGAGTGTTAAACGGGCCTCCACATTTCTCACTGTCCTCTGGACTCCTATGGGTGACACCACTGGACATGTAATCTTCTACAATGAACATAATACAACCAACACCTATAGTGAGGGTTGCCCCAACTCCTGGAATGAGATTAACGTTATTGGAGGAGGCGGTATTTACGATATCGCTGGACTTACACCCAACGTCAGCTACAACATATGTATTACTGGCACATCTGAGCACTTTAACAGTGACTGCAAATGTTTGCGTAAGTGCAGAGTTTTGTGCACACACTATACCACCAAACTTAGCAGTACAATAGTTGCATAATGCTTAGCATTAGAATGCACTTTTTATCAGACAGCTAGTGACAATTTTAAATGTATATACTTGTTATAACTTTTTGTTTCATTACCCAATAAAAAAAATAGTTGAGATGTGTTATAATTTTTAACTCTGCAGAAGTTGTAGCTTCGTTCCTGTGGGTCAACTCCATGACGACTACTTCTATCACTGTCTCCTGGACCAGTGGGGGCTCTGGGAATGTCATCTCCTACTATCTCATGTGGGGCCCAGTAGGTCAAGGTACGTGGATTACACACGCTACTCTCCTTCAGTGGAGGTTACAAAGAAGAAGAAGAAGTGTTCGTACGAAGCAGTGAGCCTCGGGTATATAAGTTGAAGCAATGTTGTATATTTATATAAGCTTACACAGCAAAATAAAAAAAATGGCCATATTCAAACGTATGTGCATTTTTTGCAAAGTAAATCAACTGTATATACTAAAGAGCAACCTCTGCTCTCCCATTTTACATTGTTTACAGACGATCAGCCAAATACAATGACCATCACTATTACCGATGGCTCAACCAACCATACTGTGACTGGACTCGAGGAAAACACAGAGTATCATTTTACTGTGATAGCAGAAGCTGATTCATCCACTGACAGAGGAGAGAGTAATACAATCACTGCAACAACTGGTAATAGATGCATGATCGTTAATTCCTTTGTACTTCTTATGAATGAGTTATGTAGCCATTCGCCATTTCTTTCAGCCCTTCCCGTAACGTTTTTAGATAGTTATCTGCCATTTTTCTGTTAGTTTCAGGCCTCCCTGTTCAAATTTGTCTGAGCGGATTCCTCAACTGTTCGGAACTGATGGTAAGTCACAACTAGTAATATTTGAGAAAAGTGAATTGTCTCAATTCTTGCACAATGTAAAATTTTTTGCACTCGTGTTCCGTTCATTTAATGATGTGTGTGCTTTGCCATGCTCATATTGCAGGCCAACTTCCCTGGTGCAAACCTAGCAGATGACATAAGCCACACTATTCTAAGAGAATCTTGTCCGTGTGACATTCCTGCCGAGAATAACATCATTGTCAATGGAGAAACAGTCTGCCTCAGTGAACTACCCAACTCCATCTTCTTTAATGCTACAATCGTGGACTACTTTGATGCGAACAGCTCAGAACTTAGAGCAGGGATTCAGTCCTGGGCTTCCGAGGGCCCTGTTATTAGTATTCTCGGTGTCCTAATGACAATCGTGTGGGGCGACTGCATCTCTTGTCCTGATCTTGCCACTGGCTTATGCGACAGGGAAGAATTCTCTTGCATTTCCACTCAACCTTCGACTGGAATTGTACAAATCGCGGTTACAAACACCTTTTCTTCCACTGCACCCACGAATTACATCGAGAATACTCAAACATTAACATCTTCTAGTGCACCTCGTTCCACTGAAATGCCCAATCCACCTCCAGTGGAGAACACTGCAGGGACACAGACATGTGACTGTACTCAATCTCTATCTTCAGGAATTCTGGGACTGAGTGTGGGGCTTGGAATCGGAGCAGGCCTGGTTGCCTTCCTGGTGGCTGGTGGTGTTGTCCTCATTCCATTCTGCATCGCGAAACGGAGACGGCGTAACTATGTCTTGAAACAAAGGTAAGCCCAATTTTATGTACAAATGCAGAGAGTAAAGATACTTCAAAACTGGGAGGCAAACACAAAAAGTAGAGGAATAGGGTTATTATATACGTCTCTCCCCTTTTGTAATTAGTAGTTAATGGAAGAGACCATCCCCTTTTATTACGCATCTGATTCACGCTTGTTGGTGTATTGTCTATCTTCCTCCCAGTGATGCTACTCTCGATGCTACCATTATCCCAAACGTGGCCTACAGTTTGTCACCCATCAACCGGGACAGGGTGCCATCCACCGACCAGCTCGAATACGACTATCCGCTCTTGCGGGGTTCAATCGTCGCACGACCTCAACGACCTCGCCAACCGACGCAGACAGATGGGAAAGGAGACTATGAAGTGGGCACACCTCTTCACATTCGCCTCATGAGGATAAGACAACAGGAACAAGAGTCATGTTTGGGTCAGGGATCACGGCAAGGAGATGAGGAACCACAGGAGGAAGACGAAGATTACAGAAGAAGCAGGCGGTACACTGAAGCACCAACTGACACGTAATAAAATTACAAGCTATTGTCCAAAGTAGATAATGTGTTTGTGTACATGTCGGCTTACAGATAGTGTGGGTTCATTTTTGGGCCCATGCATGCTCACGCACGAGGCTGCCAGCAAAAGGAAAATCAGCTTAGCGGTTGATGGCCAATGATGACGGGTCAATATCGGGATTGTATGGTGCTGGCAGAGCATACCGTGTGCATGCACACTTGCGTCGCTGCATCACTTATATTCGCTTAAAAAATTTAAAAATCAGCTGAAAGAAGAAATTAAATTGAAACACACTCGTATTGGATTATATAATCTGAGATACTTAGTTTTGCTAACAAGACAGCTAGCTGTAAAAAGTCAAACCGAAAAGCTATTAAGGTGTCATGTCCGACTCTTTCTGGACAAAGTCCACCATCACATGCACGACATGAAACCTTTGCAGGTCCTTGTTCCCTTGGCCCTGGCTGGAGAGCCACTCTAGAACTGCCGGAATGAACAATACAGCCATCTTTTCAGCAACCGAGAAAACGTCTGACACGATACTCTCGTTCTTGTAGCTACACGTTCTTTGTCCACATGGACAGACCGATGAAAAACAGCATGAGTAATAGCTTGACAAATACCAGGGGGACTTGTCTGCGGATCGGTCGCACGTTCTCTGCTATTGAGAAATAGAGTCTAGTGCTCATGTAGTTTACCAGGTCTCTATGGACATAGAGATTCTCTCTGTATTGAGTAGGTTGATTTCCTATCAACTGTACACCGTATCGCGCAGTCTTGTGCAGGGAAATCCTCATTCTTCTTATTTGGATCTGGGATTTGATATACTCAATCTCGGATTCCGAATCGTTTTCCATGATTTGGACGACGTCTTTGAGAATGCTGGAGTATTGCTTGTGAACGGAGTGGACTATTGCATAGACAGTGGAGACAAAGGCAACCAACAGAACAATGTAGTGGAAAACAATGTCGGCTGCAATGCTGGCACCGAGGTAGGTAAAGATGGTGACCTCAGTCAGTAGAAAACAGAGGCTAAAGAGGGTGAGGATAAGGTAGAGAAGATCAATACTGAGAATCGAGGCATGAATGAAATGCCGGATACTTTGGAAGAGTTTTAGAATGAATAGCTGGTCTTGGAACCAGATACGTTGGAGCTTGTGACACATCCCTAAAGCAATGGCTCGGAATAGCTCCTTTGCAAAGCTCAGAGATCAAAGAGGATTTGCAAGAGGAAGAAAAGGAACTGTACTCTGAAATACCCCCTAACATGTGAATAAACGTTGTGCTCGTTTTTTGTTGATGCTGTGCTTTGTTTTCCATTTGGCGCATGTGCGCGCAAAATTTTCCGGGGCCGCGGGGGCATGCACAGGAATGGAATGAGGTTGATCAATGGGGGCGTATCTGCCTTGGCCTTTGCTTGCTCCGCCGCAACAGTAGTCAACTCTATCCGCGTATATCATACCACCGAGCGGGGGTTCATCGCGCTAGAATCTTATACGAAAGGAGATAGCGGGTTTAAAGAAGAAGAAGAAGAAGAAGATGAAGAATATGATGACACGAAAATCGTGAAATCGCGTATGAGCGAATTCTCGCGTGGACGACTGAAGGTGCGTATGAGCTCTTGGGGGACATGTATAGGTGGATATGGGCCCGTAGACTATTGCTAGTATGTTTTGAAGGCCTAGGAAGTGATTCTCACCGAGTTTTTAATCGTTTTGTACGCGGATCACGTGAGATTTCACCCGCGTCATCCCTATATAGAGAGTCTACCGACTCTCTAATATTATATATACACAGAAAATTCCGCTCGAACGAACGACCAGGTTGGCTCGCTCCCGCTCGCCAATTACTATATATACACAGAAATTTCCGCTCGAACGACTAGGTTGGCTCGCTCCCGCTCGCCAACTACTGCTGAAAAACTATGAGGACGCTGATTCTGTTTTACCTGAGTCTCCAACTGTTGATGGAGGTCCACTCTCAGACGGTTCCTTATGTCTCCTTCATGAGCCAGACTCTGGCGAACCATTCCTACGTGGACCTCAGTGAAGTGGGGAGGGATGATTTTGGTAGTGACAGTGTTCAGTGTATCACTGACCTGGACACATGTTGTAGGTCTGATCATGGTATCCATCGTGGAGACTGGTATTTCCCTGATGGAACTAGACTGCCATTCTCAGAAGATGGTGGTGATATCTATGAAAATCGTGACGATATGAGAGTTGATTTACGTCGTAGGAACAATGCTAACTCACCAACTGGTATCTATCGCTGTGACATTCCAACTAATGCTGTCCATGATGTTACTGACATCTCAGTGAGAGACACAGTCTATGTGGGACTGTATACTGCCAGTGGAGGTAGGTAAATTAGGCACAAATGAAGATTATATTAACTAATGGTCATTGTTAATCAGGAGATATCACAATATCAGGAAGTATAGTACTGACTGTTGACTCTGACCTCAATGAAGCCAGTCCTCAGTTCACCCTGGCCTGTATCTCCACTGGTGGACCTGCTACCACCGTCACTTGGACCAGAGACTCCACCACAGTCACCCAAGGAACCCAGACTGTGTTGAATGACCCAGTGACTGCACAGTACACCCACATTCTGACTATGACTGGGGGACTGCCTGGAATCTACACTTGTACTGTGGCTAATAACAAGCCTTCTTCTGCAAATGCAAGTATCACAATTGAAGGTAAGCTTGCTCCACAAAACAATCCCTATTGCAACATTTGGGTTCGCATCAGGGTTGCACTGCTTTCATAACTCGCCGTATTTCATTACGTATTATGCATGCTGTTTATTGCTCCCTATCACACAATGTTCTATAGAAACAGGCTATCATAATTTGTGTGACTATGTTTGCATGTGGATGCCTACATTGCTTCTTTGCAAATTCCTTCAATAAAGTAGCATGATACATATTACACACCCAATAATACACAAACATAATCTTGCAAATAATCATGAGGCCAGGAACGTGCACACCAGGTGCTGTGTTAGTAAAATTCATTAGTTGACGAATAGTGCTCTTGCTATGATCATTCCAGAGGCGTCACCCCCCACTTCTCTCTCGAGTGTTAAACGGGCCTCCACATTTCTCACTGTCCTCTGGGCTTATGTGGGAGGCACCACTGGACATGTAATCTTACTACAATGAACATAATACCACCAACCCAGCTACATAACTGATTCACAAGTATGTACAAAATGGCGAATGACTACATAACTCATTCATAAGAAGTACAAAGGAATGATTATGCATCTCTTACCAGTTGTTGCAGTGATTATATTACTCTCTCCTCTGTCAGTAAATGAATCCACTTCTGCTGTTTTCCTCAAGTCCAGTCACAGTATGGTTGGTTGAGCCATCCCATTCACTATAATAGCAGAAGCGGATTCATCTACTGACAGAGGAGAGAGTAATACAATCATTGCAACAACTGGTAAGAGATGCGTGATGATTCCTTTGTACTTCTTATGAATGAGTTATGTAGTCATTCGCCATTTCTTTCAGCCCTTCCCGTAAAGGTTTTAGATAGTTATCTGTCATTTCACTGTCAGTTTCAGGCCTCCCTGTTCAGATTTGTCTGAGCGGATTCGTCAACTGTTCGGAACTGATGGTAAACCACAACTAGTAATATTTGAGAAAAGTGAATTGTCTGAATTCTTGCATGATGTAAAATATTTTTTCTCCACTCGTGTTCCGTCGCCTCCATTCATTTAATGATGTGTGACATGATCATATTGCAGGCTAACTTCCCTGGTACAAACCTAACAGATGACATAAGCCGAACTATTCTAAAAGAATCTTGTCAGTGTGATATTTCTGCTGAGAATATTATCATCAATGGAGAAACAATCTGCCTCAGTGAACTACCTAACTCCATCTTCTTTAATGCTACAATCGTGGACTACTTTGATGCGAACAGCTCAGAACTTAGAGCAGGGATTCAATCCTGGGCTTCCGAGGGCCCTGTTATTAGTATTCTCGGTGTCCTAATGACAATCGTGTGGGGCGACTGCATCTCTTGTCCTGATCTTGCCACTGGCTTATGCGACAGGGAAGAATTCTCTTGCATTTCCACTCAACCTTCGACTGGAATTGTACAAATCGCGGTTACAAACACCTTTTCTTCCACTGCACCCACGAATTACATCGAGAATACTCAAACATTAACATCTTCTAGTGCACCTCGTTCCACTGAAATGCCCAATCCACCTCCAGTGGAGAACACTGCAGGGACACAGACATGTGACTGTACTCAATCTCTATCTTCAGGAATTCTGGGACTGAGTGTGGGGCTAGGAATCGGAGCAGGCCTGGTTGCCTTCCTGGTGGCTGGTGGTGTTGTCCTCATTCCATTCTGCATCGCGAAACGGAGACGGCGTAGCTATGTCTTGAAACAAAGGTAAGTCCAATTTTATGTAGCAAACGCAAAAAGTAGAGGAATAGGGTTATTATATACGTCTCTCCCCTTTTGTAATTAGTAGTTAATGGAAGAGACCACCCCCCTTTATTACCCATCTGATTCACGCTTGTTGATGTATTGTATATCTTTCTCCCAGTGATGCTACTCTCGATGCTACCATTATCCCAAACGTGGCCTACAGTTTGTCACCCATCAACCGGGACAGGGCGCTATCCACCGACCATCCCGAATACGACTCAATCATCGCACGACCTCGCCAACCGACGCAGACAGACGGGGAAGGAGACTATGAAGTGGGCACACCCCCCCACATTCGCCTCATGAGGATAAGACAACAGGAACAAGAGTCATGTTTGGGTCAGGGATCACGGCAGGGAGATGAGGAACCACAGGAGGAAGACAAAGATTACAGAAGAAGCAGGCGGTACACTGAAGTACCAACTGACACATAATAAAATTACCAAAAAATTTTTAAAAATCAGCTGTTGGATTATATATAATCTAGGATACTTAGTTTCGCAGGCTATAATACTAACAATACAGCTAGCTGTAAAAAGTCAACCGAACAGCATTATATATTAAAGTGTCATGTCCGACTCTTTCTGGGAAAAGTCCACCATCGCATGCACGATATGAAACCTTTGCAGGTCCTTGTTCCCTTGGCCCTGGCTGGAGAACCACTCTAGAACTGCCGGAATGAACAGGATGGCCATCTTTTCAGCCACCGAGAAAATGTCTGACACGATACTCTCGTTCTTGTACACGTTCTTTGTCCACATTGAGAGGACGATAAAGAAAAGCATGAGGAATAGCTTGACAAATACCAGGGGGACTTGTCTGCGGATCGGTCGCACGTTCTCTGCTATTGAGAAATAGAGTCTAGTGCTCATGTAGTTTACCAGGTCTCTATGGACATAGAGATTCTCTCTGTATTGAGTAGGTTGATTTCCTATCAACTGTACACTGCCCTGTGCAGTCTTGTGTAGGGAAATCCTCATTCTTCTTATTTGGATCTGGGATTTGATATACTCAATCTCGGATTCCGAATCGTTTTCCATGATTTGGACGACGTCTTTGAGAATGCTGGAGTATTGCTTGTGAATGGAGTGGATTATAGCATAGACAGTGGAGACAAAGGCAACCAACAGAACAATGTAGTGGAAAACAATGTCGGCTGCAATGCTGGCACCGAGGTAGGTAAAGATGGTGACTTCAGTCAGTAGAAAACAGAGGCTAAAGAGGGTGAGGATAAGGTAGAGAAGAAGAATACTGAGAATCGAGGCATGAATGAAATGCAGGATACTTTGGAAGAGTTTTAGAATGAATAGCTGGTCTTGGAACCAGATATGTTGGAGCTCGTGACACATCCCTAAAGCAATGGCTCGGAATAGCTCCTTTGCAAAGTATGGCAGCGGAAAAACGAAGTATGTCAACACTATCAAAACAGATAGACATAGCACGAAGACTCCCACCACCCTATTGATAATAACCCCACAGAGCCAGATGGGAAAGAACACTGGTGCTTGCTGGTTGAAGCACATGTGGAAACCTTTGAAACTGTTTTTGCAGACATGGTCCCAAAACTTGCGGTCAAAAGGGAGGTACATTCTCTCTAACATGACGTAGGCCAATCGCTGGTACTCGATGCTGTTCTGTCGACTTCCGCGCAGTCTCACCATGGAGGCTGGATAGGGTTCCATGAAGAGAGGGAAATAGACTGGAACTTCAGGTCTGATGTACACACTGAGGTGTTGGGGCCAACTGACGGCAGTCAAAAACAGTGCAAACACTATGAACGAAAATGGTTGGTAGGCAGGCAAGAACAGGAAACGAAACGACAGAGCGGAAAGTAGGGAAAAACCTAGTGCTCTTCGTAATCGGATAAAGATTGCTCCTCTCCAATCATCCACACTGGTATGGTAGCAAAGACAGTTCTTGATGTAGCGGCCCAGATACACCGGGACCTTGTGAGTGGGGAACATGTCAGGGATGTGAGTCACAGAGTGGACTGGTTTAGAGCTCGGAAGGTAGATAACCAGGAGAGGAAAGAACAGCCAGAGCAAAACTGAGAGGTAGATGATCTTTGGGTAGTGCCGTAGGAGCTCTTGAACTTTACAACTGCCATCACCACGACTGTAGCAGAAGTAGTTTGCCACATTTCTACAGGAGAGGGATAGAAAGGAGCAGCGAGAAAAGAAAAGCTTGAGGAAACGAGACTGGTAGAGTATATCTGGGAGGGCAAAGTTTCTGGTGGTAAACACAGTCAGGTCCCGCTCAGGAGGGTAAGGGGAAACGATATCCAACACTCCACTGTCTGCTTCCACGCACAAGTGATCCCATTCTACACCGTGCTTCTCTGTCACGCTCTCTATCACTTCCTTCAGCTCAAAGAAACCGACGCCACATGCAACGCCCTCACCGCAACCGGTACAATTTATTTGGATCTCGTCCTCTTTAGTGTTTTTGGATATAACGTCAGTAGTTCCCAGAGCGAGCGTCTGAAAATTCTGCGGATAGCGAAGCAAATAGCTGAACTTACCGGCAACCCAAATCCACGTAATGCGCCCCGTTACATTCTCCCCTGTCGTCTGCTGATTGAGTTGCGGATGTTCATAGTTCATCACTGGAGCTCTGAATCGCATGAACTTCCTCGGCTTGGTTTTGAGGATATCGTCGATCGTTCTCCTCAGTTTTTCCTTGTTCCAAGTCGCCTCCGTGCATGGGAACTCGATCGCGGGCTCACAGACTTTCGCATTCGAGCTTGCAGGTGCCGGAGACGTCTGACCTGCGCTGCACAATTCCAGAGCAAGAGCAATCAAGAGAACAAGAAGAGGGAGAGAGAATGTGTAATGCGCCATTATTACGAGGGCTATAAAAGGGCGTAGCTGAGATAATGTATACCCGGTTACGGGTATACCAAAGCACAAGCACCGTATGAATATCGTTCGTGGTCTATGTATACAGCTACGTAGCTTATGCTGCATGACAAGTAGGTCAATCGAGCAACGTTTTTATTCCATAAAAATGATTTCTTGGTCGCGGGCCCGCAGACATGTGCTTAGCTATATTTTTTATGGTCTTCGACCTTGCTGGTGCTGCAGTGTCTCAAAGTCGCGCAGTCGAGTCCGTTTTTTACGCACTTTGCCAAATCTGACGCATGCGCAGTTTTCTTAGAGACAAATCTGACGCATGCGCAGTGAATGCCTCGGCTTGACATACAGCTATAATATACCCAGTTTGCTTTTTAGTGTCTGCCCATTGTATTATGTAACAGCTCCTGTAATGCTGTACAACTGTGAGTTAATAATATTAGCTACCGTCTCTACTTCCAGTCACACTATCAAATATCTATTCTTCAATCCTCCTCCTCTCTCAATGGCAACAGTGGCTCTTGCCTTCTTGGGCTGGACAGAAGGGAAAAAAACCGACAAACCCACACATAGTAACACCTCCTCTGACACATGAAGCTACCCACGGTAGCCATGTGTATCTATACTTATGTGCATAGCTATCTTGTGTTAGCCCCGTTTCCAAACCTTTTCATTATGAGCATGCAGCCATGTGATAATTGTGCACGTGGAGACTATATATAATAGTGGCTATAGGATTTTACTTGGATATCACTTGAGGCACTTGAGGCTGTCGTTGGTGCACGGGCTGCTGCTGCTGCGGTAGATTGGCACCCCCGGTTCTCTGCACCCTGCGATGGCGGAATATAACACACACTGCTATCGCCAGCACTCCTATGAAGAAAACGGCTCCTGCGATTGGTACTCCAATCTCCAGTCCCGTTTTGACACTCTCTTTGTCAATGCTATCTCTGTGGTTGGGGCAAATGTCACGGTTCACTGTAGACACAATCCCTATACACTGGTCCTCCACCACTCTAAGTAGCACTCCCTCCACAGTAATGGTTGGCTCACCGGAGACCCACTGACTGACAAACCTGGCCAGTTTAGTGCTGTCTATCTCAGCAAATGTACTAGTCAGTCTAGCAGTGTAACTGAGGCCGTTTGATGAACCGCTCGAGCAGTTAAGGCTCTCGCGGTCTATGTTGGAAGAAGTGAAAACACATTCGCAAGAGTCTGCAATTGCTTTCACGACATCTTCGCGTATGTCTTGGAGCTTGTCGTCGTTTGGGCTGGTTTGTTGCAACTGTGGAAGCACCTGTGCACATTGAAAGAAGGTCACGTGTATGCAACTTAAGACTATGAAGCTAGAAGTATATAGCTAACAATTCTGGTGGGTTTACTTTATGTAGAAGAAATGAAGGGAAGGGGAGCATGACATTGTAATGACATTGTAATATCAGGACTTACCAGCCACTCAAAACAGTTGATAAAACCGGCAAGATCAACCTTAAAAAATTGGTCTACAAACAAGAAACAGAAATAGCGTAGTTTACACGCACTGCAATAAGAACGACATTTCAATGCTTACGGTCCGAGAGTGTCGTGAAATCGACGTTGGTAGAAACACCAGATACAGAGGAATTGTAGTTTGCCTCCAGTGAGCACCTGTACTCAGTGGCAGGAGAGAAACCAGCCACACTATAGGACCCCGGGGAGGAGAAGGACAGAGGAAAAGAGTCCGGGTCTGGGTAGCAGAAGAGTGTGTAGTTGGAAATGGGTGCAGACACCTTTGGAGGAGACCAAGAGAACTGTACATCTCTCTGACCAGCTGTTACTCTGAAGTTTTCTGGAGTACCCACCGGAGCTAAATTAATACACAAACGGAAGAATTATTGAGACTCAGGTTAAAGGGTTGATCCTACAAATAGATTATTACCTACAAAATTCTCTATTTTATATAAAAATAGTTCAGCATGCTCCTTTATAGTTAGAAGCTCAACTATACAGTATTAATGACGCAATTTAGGCACCTGAGGTTAATTACTATAGCACAATAGCTTTGCTATTCTTTTTCTTACCAACGTAGATGTAGGTGGTAACGGGTTTGCTAGAGAAGTGATCTGACCCTCCAGCTAACTCAATAGTGTAGTTTACTCCAGTTTGAAGTTGTAAAAGAGTGTTGTTAGTCAAATCAACCGTCTCAAAGACTGTAATGCTGCTCTGGGTACTGTGTGAGGTGTAGGTGACGACGTAGCGTGTGGTGTCCCCCAGAGGAGAGGGAGGGATCCAGGTTAGTCTTATGTCATTCAGACCGACTTGTACAGCCTTCAGATTGGTAGGGGCAGAAGCAACTGAGCAAAGTAGAGTGAGATAAGGTAAAACAATGTGTAAAGAAACTGTGTTGTGCAACCGTGGATAAGAGACAGCTCTCTATAAAAGATGTGTGCTTAGATCCAATGCTGCAAATCACCTCCGTAATACAAACAACAGTCATTTGGGGGGGTTCCACTGTACCAGCTAGTTGGAAAGTTATTATGGTTTACAATGCCACAAGCTGCACAAGCTAGCCCAGCTGGTAGCACTACAAGGAAGGAGCATTTTCATGGGGAAATGCATGAAGGAGAGGTTGCTTTTCCATTAAGTTATGGAATTCATAAAGTAACAACATTCCCCTTTTGTGTTGAATTCATACTTTCTATCAAAAATTCAAGAGCAGCTACAAACTATTACGGTGGATTCACTAGAAAATTGTAATGAATTATATATTTTTAACTTAGCACGAGTAAGTGCTATAAACTATTACGAAGAAAATTGTTCGTTTTTCAAAGAGCTGCAACTTAGCCAGAATATGAACATCCCAGTTGGGAACAAGCGTGACACGAGCTGAAAGACACAAGTTAATGCCAATGTGTGGAGTATAGAATTAGCTTATAGTTTAGCAGCTTGTAGCCATGGCAGTATAGCTAGCTAACAACTACTTTTTGTCTGCTGCAGTCACTGTTCATTGATGTAGCTAGGCACTGATTTGACAGACCTTGGATATAGAAGCTTGCTGAGTTAGTCGGAGGACTACCGCCGGCTGCAGTGCAGGTATAGATTCCTCCCAGTTTCTCAGTAACTGTTAGAGTGTGTGTAAACTCTATGGTAGGCCCGCTGGTGGAGACTGTGGTAGTACTTCCCGTAGATAAGTAGCTGGAGTCTCTGGCCCACGTGACAGTTGGTGAGCCGCGTAGGATATGCAGATGAGCTGGAACCGCGGACTGCTGTCTGAGAAGTCAGAGTCTTCGGACAGTGTTACTGTTGGGTCCACAGTAATGCCACCTGGGATGGTAGTCAATTGCTACATTGTATGCTATATATACTAGCTAGCCAAGCCTAAAACACCACCTGAGAATGTATGAATCACTGATCAAAACGTGATGCAGAATAGATATTATAACTGGACACGTATGGGATGAAGTCTTCAATCGTGCAAATGCTTTAATCTGTGTTCATACGGACTCACATCCTCCGTTTTTCAGCTCAACAAAGATGATAGCGCGGCTAAATGTGGTCGAAGTTTCTATGGTACACGTGTAGACGCCTTCACCGGCGTCTCCCGCGCTGCCCAGGTCTCTGCGGTACAGATCCACACGTCTGTCGCCCCTCTCCTGGTATATGTAGGCCGCCTCGGAGTAAAACGGGAGGCTGGAGGAGCTGTCGGGAGGGTACCAGTCTCCGCGGGCTTGTCCCTGGAGTTCTGTGCAGCAGGTGGTCAAGTCCGTGTGGCACTGGATCCCGTCGCTCTCGTCCACCTGCGAGAGATCGATGCACGAGTAGGTCGGGTAGAAGCGACCCATAAACGTGATAGAGGGAGCCGGTTGGGAGACAACTCCTAGCACCAGGTAGAAAAGCAGCAGCGGAGTGGTCGTTGGAGCCATGATTGGCGTGGTGGGACGTAGAGTAAACGGCAAGTGGCAGATACGCCCACTTTTATATGCGTGGCCGCGCTGGACTGGCACGCATGCGCGCGAATATGCGTATAATAACCGATGTGACCTAGGTATGTAATCTCTAAGCAAGTTCAAAACTAGACGAACAAGCGATATTATGCAAGTTCCACACTCTTGGTAGACGGGACCTTTTCCCCATGGTTCGGTCGCTGTCGGAAGTGGTAGAAAATGACAAACAGCCCAGCACGGAGGAACGCCAGTGCCACAGTCCCGAGGAGAAGAACCAGAGCAAATATCCCATTCCTCCACTCACCCGGGACACCCCTATGCTTGCCAAGAACACCGATTAGGGCCCATATAACGACCGGATAAACAGTGAACACGCCACGAGAATACTGGTAAAGGATGGTGTTTTCGAGTGTGAAATATAGTAGAACGGCTCCAGCGAGGAGGGAAAGGGTTACTGTCCCAACTGTGGACGGGTCGACGTTGAAAGAATACTGGAGGACGATGCTGAAATTGACCAGTCCGGCGATGGTCGTCCAGGTTGCATATAGGGACAGCCCGTTTTTAACCAGGACAGTCGTCAGGGTGTCATCCAGCTTACTAGCAGTGGAGTAGTTGGCGTTGAAGGCGAAATCGAAAGCCGAAATGGTGAGATAAATGACCAGATTGAATGCAACCAGGAAAATGGAGGACCACGTTACGAGCGCATTGCCGAAGAGATAGAGCCAAGCAATGTTGATGACTGAAGAAACGGAAAATCCAGAGTAGGTGCTCACGGATATTGTACGCACTGCTTCGGGTCTGCACTGAAAGGTCCAAGCATAGATTAGCCAGCCACTCTGCCAGATGAAGATGAGGCCCCAGATGGCAACGGTGAAGTTGGCTGGAGTCACCTGTTGTTAGGTGTGTGTGTGTGTGCAGGGGGAAGGCGGAGAGGAAAAATCAGCTGAGCATAAGAGGAAATGTTTACACAGCACAGCTAGTAAGGAGTGAGCGGGGATTTTCCGTATATTATACCTGAGTAACAAACTCATCGGATATTCCACCCGTGCTGTTCTTGAAGCCGAATTTGTTGGCATTGGGGCTACTAGCGAAGCTGCTGACCACCAGGAAGGCTACGAAACCGACGGTAGCAAGCGCCAGCGACCCGCACTCGGCCGCGCGAAGAATGCCGCGCCTTCCACGTTGAGTTTCTCGGCTCATGACAGTCTCCAGAGTGATTCCTCGTTTTTTTTTCACTAGGGTGGTCGCCGTAGCTTTATAAAGAGGACGGCGTGGGCAGTTTTGGGCTGCCAGTCACGAGTTTGAGTCTCGCTATAAGATTGCGCCGAGTTGCGTCGGGTTGTCAGTAAGCGCGCGTGGGTTGCCGTGGGTCTTCACTGCACAAACCAGCTAGAGGCGTGTGCAGTGACGGTCTTGCACCCTAGCAACCACCAAGACAAAGTCACGGGAGTCCGGTTGTGGGGGAAGAGTTACGTCCTCTTACATGAACAAGCTCCCCGATATGCGCGAGGTCAGCCCTACCCTCTTTTTTTTTGCACATGCGCACACGGCACACTGTCCACCGCCCACGCACCAGCCAAACGGACTTCCTGCGCGAGCGACGACCGGCGACAAAACAAGATTGACTTCGATTGCACCAGACTTAGCTAACTTGAGGGAGGAAGAGACAAGTGATCCGTGGGTTGAAACCGATCCGTCTCTCGCGCCCTAGTTTCGCTGCATTATCGTCATCTTCGGATCTTAGACCGCATGGCCCATCATAACCGGCGCGGCGGGAGCGGGCGTGAGTCGTCGTCTAGCCGCGGCGCACCGGTGAACGAGGTGGCGGAGCAGGTCCTGCTCACCAACTACAAGGCCCTGGAGCTGTACATGAACGAGTGTCACACCATACGACGGGAGTCGGGCGTGTACGAACCTCCAGACGTGCTGGACTCGCCACAGTCGCAGGAGCAGCACCGTCAGTCGGATCGTCGGCATGCGTCGCCGGGGGACAGCGCTAGGGGGACGGATCACGAGAGCAGTGAAGAAGAAGGTACCGTATAGCCCTTTAGTGTAGACGTATATCCTGTATGCAGGACTCCGTCCGCGGGGCGCAGGGTTTGGCTATATCAATGGGGTGCCTAATACTGCGGCCAAAGGCTGAATAGGTGCAGCGTTTTTATGTGTTCACTTGCAAACTAATAGCTGTACATGCACACGCCATAGACCGACCCATACGTTAGGAACTTCTGTTGATAAACTGTTGATGTAGCTATATAGTCTAGACGAGTACAGTTTGCTTTCATTAGCTCTCGGCTGTATAAACGGCAATCTTCTGCTTGATGATTCATGGTTTGAAGCAAGTACATAGCTATAATTAACTTGAAGAAAGGTTTGAATCTGTAACTCATCGGATCAAGGGCCCCACTGTGATTCATGGTGCGTTGAGCTTCGAAAAGGCTATTAAAATTGCAGCCACACACACACAGAAGCAGGCTACCATCTGTTCCTCCCCTTTACTAGTAACAGTGTATGTGCAATTGACTCATACCCTGCATGGGTGTGTTATAGTTCACCAATCATACCTGCAACAAATCTCCACAGCGTATGCATGGGAGAGAGATCTGAATCTTGCTCTGATAGCTTGGAAAGACTCCTAGTACATAGTGTGAATATCGCTGCCACTGAGGTTAATGCGTGATGACATGGCAAGTGTGTCGTGTGTAATCAAATATATTCACTGCATCCTCTTGACAAGACAGTAAACAAGATTTTGAGTTTCTGAGCTAAGCACACATCTTGGCATTGATCAGAGCACCTTGAAAGAATCTGGGCTCGGGGTAATTTCATGCTAATCAGGGTTCAGCCATTTTTAGATTATTATTCATCAGTTTGTCACTTTATGACAGCCGCTGTTAGTATTGTCAAAGGCAAATGCACTCTATAAACATTCTGTACCAGTGCCCCCTCCATTCCTCCTTTAGTGTCCTTGAGTCGGAAAACAAGCACATGTTTATCTTTCCTCTTGCACTCACCAACGTCCATTAATCTATGCCAGAGTTCGCACTTAGACGACTCTGTCTCTGCTCTCTGTCTCCACTTTCTGTATAGAGCATTGCAAAGTCTCAACTCTTGCACACATTACTATAACTATGTAGAAGTCTATATTATGCAGAACTGTAACTATGTAGAAGTCAATATTATGCAGAAGCCCTCCCTCCTGTCTACCTTTCTCGTTGTCTTCTTCCCCATGTGAAAGTGTGAGCTGTTCAGTTAACTAATTTTGGACGAAACGAGAACAAGATATTGGGTAGTAGCTATCGTTAGGAATGTGAGTGAATGTGAGTGTTTCGTGAGAAAGGAAGGAAGCATTGTGGAACAGTAGCAGCTGTGAATTACCTACGATCCTTGCATTTTAATAAGTGTTAGTTCCAATATGATATGTAAATGGAGGAAGCTGAATATTTTATAATGCTACCTCCTGTATATAGCTACTGGATATGCCACGACTATATGCTTTTGTAGATATTCCAACGATCAATGCATTGCTGATATTCGGTGAAAAGAAGTTGAATCTAAACGGTGTACTTGACTCAGTCGTGTTGTTATTATTTGAGCTCGTGGGGAAAGTACTGACCAACAAACAGGTTGAGGATGGAGTCGGCCAGACTAACTGAAACGGTGGTCTAGCTACGTAGATGCAGACTGGCGATAGGATTTTCACCGCATCTGTAGACTGGCTAGGCGGCCAAATAATTCCACCGCCTCTGTCTACGTTTCACGGTTTTAAAAAGATTCTGCTGCGGTGATAGATATGTTGTCGCAATTTCCACAAATTATAAATTTTCACCACCTCGGTAGACTGGCTAGGCGGCCAAATTGGGAACTCTCAGGAATGAGATACCACTACAGTTGTAGGTCCGTGTGGTGTGTGGCGGCCGGGATTGTGTGTGTGGGGAACAATGTGGAGGAAACCTCAAGTATGTCCCTGTGCAGTGCATGATCTCCGGACATTCTTTGTGGTTTCATGCCCGCTGCCTGCTCACTAACTATAATTATATAGCACTCACTACCGCTTTTGAAGGGCAGGTACTTAGTGTAGTCATATTAATTATGAGCATTTTTGGGTGATTTTTCATTCCTAGGCAAGAAAGGTCTTTGTGATGCCGTTTGCTTGCAGAGCAGGTCAAATCCATTAGGACACTTTTTTATTAGGTCACTTCTCGAATAAAGATACATTTTCAAATTGCAGTGGCGGATCCTGGAGGGTTCCTTGGGTTCCGTGGAACCCCCTTTTTGTCGTTTTGCGCGCATGCGTCGCCGGCCTATCTTGCGCGCGTACGAGCGCCGTTCTGGACAGTGGAACCCCCCCTTTCAAAATCCTAGATCCGCCACTGAATTGTGACACCTTTCTAATCCAAACACCAGCATTTTTCTAGTCAGGACACTTCTTTTATCAGGACACCTTTCTTACCGGGGCAGTGTCTATGGTCTTGAAAAGGCTCTGTTATCTTTCCCAAAAGAGAGAGTTTGTAGACTAGTCGTCGATTTCCGCAACATTTCCAATTCTGTGTGTGCAACATCCCATGGCTATTTTCAAAACTGTCTTTTACAATTCCCGCCAACTGAGATTGATTTGTTCACTAACAAACTGTTGTAGTGCTCGTGGTACTTTACCAAGTCACACACACAAACATCGCATCCAATAGCCCGACATTATTTTCCGCTCGTGTTGCGTCTTCATCTATGAGTCAAAGTTAACGTTGCAATGTTTCAAGATTATTTCATGGGTCGAGTATCAACGATAGTCCACGGAACTAAGTTCTAGTGCTTGCTAGTGTGTGTAGGGATGTTGCAAGTATAATTATACGCGTACCAATCATACTTACATTGTACGTAGTTTGTGAAGAAAGCCGTGCTCCTAGTTCACGCTCATAGACACATACAGTGAGACTCCGTGTCACACGAAACAGTTACGCCACATACATGCATGTTGACCTTCACACGGGCTCTAACTGTACAGTGGTATTGTGTGGGAGTCTATGTCAACAGTGTGTGTGTAGTGGTTGGGTGATTGAAATCCTAGGAGGACAAAGTTTCGTGGGCGGTTTGGAATTGTGGCAGGATGTGCTACCACTGGGCTTGATAAACACTAACATCGGGTATACTGATGTATAGATGAGTGTTAGGGTATTAATACGTTACGTAGGGTGCTTTTAATATTTCCTCTTTTGACTCTTTCTTCTTCTCTATTTTTCTGTCCCTTGTGTCTCTTTCTCTTCCTCTTTTTGACTCTTTCATCTTTCTCTTTTTTCTTTCTTCCCTTGTCTTTCTCTCTCTCCCCTCACCACACTTTCTCCCTCTTTTCCTGCCTCCCTCCCTCCCTCCCTCCTCTCCCTTCTCATACTATCCAATTCTGCACAGAGAACGAGATATTCCTCAATGCCGTTGGATTTGGTAACGTGATCGACGACGTACAACGACAAGTGGACAGTAAGTTTGTGCGTATTATTATTGAGCAATTGCGGCCACTTGCTCTTATTACTCCATCTGTTGACAAACACACACAGTGTGCCCAAGATGTGTGTGTGTGTGGCCATCAATCTATCACATGACGCGTACACACGCATGAATCTCAGTGCCAAAAAGGTTAATGTGGGTAATTCCACATAAACTCTGTGGCTACAGCCGTCGGAATAAATCGTGGATTTTTGAACGCATTACAATTCTTGAAATATCCAGACAGTTGTTGGCCGGCTTTTATGGAGGTGTATGTGGGGCTAGTGCTGGCATAAACAATGACTCTTGGTAGACAGCGACCATTTTAGCTGCACCGAGACACAACATACCTGCCAAGTTTTGTGTACACATAGTGCTAGCTTAGTGCAGTTTGGAACCATGGGGTCTCTCTCTCCCTCCCTCTCTCCCTCCCCTCCATCCCCTCCCTCCCTCCCTCTCCCTCTTCCTTCCCCCATCTCTTTCTTATTTGTTTATTCCTTTTAACTTTTACGAGTCGGCTCACAACTCTAACATGTAAATCTACACCAGGGACATGCCAAGGAGGTTTATTCTGTAGTCGTTCCCTTGCTGTAGTCCATGCTTACATCTGTTCTTTGGTTGTGTTAGAGTGTTAGCAAATATGGTGGCCACAACTGAGACAGAGAGAGGGAGAGGAGGGGAAGGGAAGGTGGGTTAGGAGGCCTCAGACTTATGCTGTAACACTTCACCTTCCGCAAAATATTGACATGATATGAAAGTTATAATAAGCTTTTATTTTACCGTGCTATGCACAACCGTTGCAAAACTGTTGTCACATTATTTTGTGTGATATGCGAAATAAATATTGGCTGTGAACGTTTTTAGTTCTATACAGCATGCTGCCCTTGTACCTTTATCGGGGATATTGAGATCCCTACTCATCTTGAAGTGTCTCTTGTCAAGACACCTACCAATCAGGACACCTGACTAATCAGGCACAGCATCGCTAATTAGGACACATGACTAATCGTGACACCTCCCCAATTAACCGAGCGTCCAATTATTTGATAAAGATTAGGACTCATTAATTAAGACACCTACCAATTAAGACATGCCAAAAGCTAACAGCGGTGTTGTTAATAACTATTCCGGGCTAATAACATTAAGCAAATTACCACTATAGCAACTCAAGGACGCAAACAAGTCGCTATTACCAAATTCTTGATGCATAGTTTTGTGCCTAGGGGATTAATTGTTTTCTTGGAATTCAACTACTCCTTTCCTTTTGCCCACTCTGGGACTTGTCCTTTTACTCACCCCAACCTGTTACCTCATTGACCTGGAATGCGCGGTCATATTTGTGCATTAGAGGGGGAGCTAGCATTATACTGAGTATGAGTATAGGATTAAGAAGTAGTAACTACTTGTCTTCCTTGTTAGGTTAACTTGGTATTTGATCACTCCAAACTCTGAAAAGCCTGCAGCCCCGTGCGCAAGAATGGTATTGCACGAACCAACCACACACACACTACTTTTGACAACAACTAAACAAGGCTATCTCAGAGACATAGTGCAATAGAGGGTCCCTACGGTACGTTTAGTTAAACGGCAGTTTTCAGTGATCCGAATTATATTCTTGGAGCCTACTTCACCGCCTCAATCCCACAACTTCAACACATGTATACATGACCTGCCATGATATCAAATCTCCGTTTTAATACAAAACCTAGTAACATGTTTGGTGACTCTATATGGAAAGGTGCATGCTAACCGCTATAATGACATATTATTCTCATGGCTAACATGCAGTGCGAGACTGTGTGTGTGTGTGTGTGTGTGTGTGTGAAAGTAGCAGTGTGTGTGTGTGCCGGGTGGCGACGCTCCCTATAGGTGAGGTAGCTCTGTTGGCCAACAACCCACTCTGTAATGGAGTGAGAGAGAGATGGAGAAGGAGAGTATGGAGGGCTTCAGCTTGTGACATGTGTAGGGCTACTGTGGTGACCTAGACTACATGGTGTGTATCAATGCCCTGGTGACCTTTTAGTCATTATACACTGAGAAACTATCTGTCAGCTTTGCATGCAGTGCGTGGGAAATTTCATGTAAAATCTTAAGGTAAAAGCAGTTTTGCTGGTTAATTGAGAGATGTCCTTTTTGGAGTTTCATAATTAGCAAGGAATTTAAACAATCAAGAGAGGTGTCCTTTATTCCGAGTGTCCATTACAACAGGTTGCACTGTATACATAGCCATGGTGAATAGCTATGTATGCAAGATATAATACACGATCTTTTCAGAATATGGTGTAAAGGCTCATGGTTTCAATGGGGCTATATACAGAGAACACACAAAGGTTGAAAACAAAACTGAAAACCTAACTAAAAGGCTTCTGATGAGAAGTAGCCCTGGTCCAGTTGTGTGTGTGTGTGTGTGTGTGTGTGTGCGCGGATGTTGTCTATGAGCAGATGTGTTTGTGGACCATTTTGGCTGCTTCTGTGGGTGTATAGGTCTTTGCTAGTGTGCACACTGGCTCTGTAGCACATGTGTCTTTGTTGGTGGTAGTTGTTCAGCTGAGCCTCAGTAGCTCAGTTGGTAGAGCCCTCTCTAGAACACAGAGTGCTCTGCCTTTCTCAGTATGAGTGATTCAGCCCAGCCAGCTGAGCTGCCTCAGTTGGTAGAGCCCTCTCTAGAACACACTGCCTTTCTCAGTATGAGTGATTCAGCCCAGCCAGCTGAGCTGCCTCAGTTGGTAGAGCCCTCTCTAGAACACAGAGTGCTCTGCCTTGCTCTGTGTGAGTGATTCAGCCCATCCTGCCTCAGCCCTCTCTCTGCTGCCTAAGCTGCTAGCTAGAGGCTCTGATTATAGCTACATACTAGGTAAAGATCTTGGTTTAGCCCCTTGTATTGAGTGGACCATAGGAATGAGGTCTCCAGGGCAGCAGAGGGGGCCACACCATGTCTCCTGTGGCCACAGTCAACTGCCATCACCCACACAAGGGGCCATGACACCCAGTCTTTGGCATGCTGTGGCCTAGACTTCCTGTATAGCTGACTCCATACCTCATGCTCACCTGGTTACATACATACCTCTTCCTCCCCCTCTGTATTTCCTTCTTTTCATTCCTTCTGAGTGTTTGTGCCTCTGTTTTCTTCTCCCACTCTTACTCCACCTTTCTTTGGGTCGTATCATTGCACCTCCAGAGACATGAACTACTGTATAGTTCGAGTTCCAGAGATAGTTCTATTGTCTTGGTCTGCCATAATGTATGATGGAAGAACAGCAACTATCTATGGAAATATACCATAGCTACAACTTTTCATAAGCACATTCCTTTGTTTTACAATTGATTGAGAGGGGTGCAGGGGTTTTCATACAAGCTACGTACTTCTTGCGAAAATTACTTTTCTCACTCCCTCTCCCTTCTTCCCCCGTCCCTGAAAGGTGGAGTAAACAGTGACGACAGTGGAGAGCTAGACACCCACGTGGAAGGTCTTCCGCCATCGCACGCCCTCCTCATCAAGAAACGAGTCCACACCTATCGCTCCACTCTCCGACACAAACAACACCAGAAGGGGGAGGGGTCGTCGACGAGAGGCGACGTGAGAGACTTGTTTCCCGGGAAGAACGGTCGGGAATCGACCAATCACGTCGCAGTCGGCAGCGGCCACGGCACGAGCAATCACAGTCACAGCTACAAGTTGATAAACGTTCCTCCTCCCATTCCGAAACGTCGCTCTACAGTGAGTTTACGTACAGTATTACCCCAGTCTCTAGAACACAGAGTGCTCTGTACCCGTGAGACACCGTACAGTAGAATGTACAGTATTACCCCAGTCTCTAGAACACAGAGTGCTCTGTACCCGTGAGACACCGTACAGTAGAATGTACAGTATTACCCCAGTCTCTAGAACACAGAGTGCTCTGTACCCGTGAGACACCGTACAGTAGAATGTACAGTATTACCCCAGTCTCTAGAACACAGAGTGCTCTGTACCCGTGAGACACCGTACAGTAGAATGTACAGTATTACCCCAGTCTCTAGAACACAGAGTGCTCTGTACCCGTGAGACACCGTACAGTAGAATGTACAGTATTACCCCAGTCTCTAGAACACAGAGTGCTCTGTACCCGTGAGACACCGTACAGTAGAATGTACAGTATTACCCCAGTCTCTAGAACACAGAGTGCTCTGTACCCGTGAGACACCGTACAGTAGAATGTACAGTATTACCCCAGTCTCTAGAACACAGAGTGCTCTGTACCCGTGAGACACCGTACAGTAGAATGTACAGTATTACCCCAGTCTCTAGAACACAGAGTGCTCTGTACCCGTGAGACACCGTACAGTAGAATGTACAGTATTACCCCAGTCTCTAGAACACAGAGTGCTCTGTACCCGTGAGACACCGTACAGTAGAATGTACAGTATTACCCCAGTCTCTAGAACACAGAGTGCTCTGTACCCGTGAGACACCGTACAGTAGAATGTACAGTATTACCCCAGTCTCTAGAACACCAGAGTGCTCTGTACCCGTGAGACACCGTACAGTAGAATGTACAGTATTACCCCAGTCTCTAGAACACAGAGTGCTCTGTACCCGTGAGACACCGTACAGTAGAATGTACAGTATTACCCCAGTCTCTAGAACACAGAGTGCTCTGTACCCGTGAGACACCGTACAGTAGAATGTACAGTATTACCCCAGTCTCTAGAACACAGAGTGCTCTGTACCCGTGAGACACCGTACAGTAGAATGTACAGTATTACCCCAGTCTCTAGAACACAGAGGCTCGTAGCCGAGTGTAGAGTTCTCTCCCATGCGCTCGATACAAGTACAGTGGAGATTATGGATAGCAGCGTTATCGATATGTGTATTGATGATAACTTACCCTTAGTCTAAGCACCACCATGACGGCGGTCTATGCTACCGTCAGTGATGCACATACCAGTGGTTACTAGTAGTATGTAGTATAGTAGGGAGTATGTAGCAGGACCCAGTCTCTCTAGACGCACAGAATGCTCAGTGACCAACAGTGATGGTATGACACTCGGCTTCTGTGTGTGTGTGGCTGCAATTTTATAGCCTATTAGATGAGCTCATGTACGCAGCTACTATAGCCCAAGTCTACTAAGTGAACATGGCCTTCCGATCGCTGCTCGTACCACGTGAATGACTACACGATTACAAGACCTTGACATTCGATAGTTCAAGTATTACCTCCAGCTGCTCATGTAGGAGCACATTCAAGAGACCTGACTCGTAGTCACTACACCATGCATGAAGATATCGTCAGCTTTATACAGTAGATAGAATGCTACTGACTAAGAGAGTATTAGCCACAAGAGCGCAATACTCATGACATCGATCCCAGACGTAGCTTTCGTACTCGCATGCATGCCATCAGTACAGCTAGTTTAGTCAACAGATAGTTACCTAGTACCGTACCCCATGTCTGCGTATCGAGAACATCCGTATGGAGTGCTCTGTACCCGGTGAGGACAGCTGTGCATGTACGATAGCAGATAGTGAATGCAAGTGATACACGATATTACCACACGACGTCATGCCTAGACACTGATCATGCAGTGCGTCTTGGCTAACGCACGTATTGTAGTAGCACACCCCATGATGACGACATAGACCGACAAGTCACAGTAGCGCCCAGATCGTGGACAGTAATAAGTGATCGCGGCAGCAAAGGACTATACAGTCTACATATGTAACAGACGAGCGTGATCACACTGCCGGTTGGTACTCCTACCAACCGTCCAGTGACTAGCATGTCTTCGTATCACGTGCTCGTGCCTCCGTCCCCCAATAGAGCAGTGTCTGCACGCTATGGGACGTTACGCTATGCTTGCGTCGAGTCGAGGGGCGGGTGACGGTGCGTGTGGGACTTCGGCGGGGCTAACTATATGCAATCCTCACCTCCATGCATCAATCTGTCATGGAATCGTTCAGTTATCTATACATAAGGACAGCTCTGTGAACTCTACGTGTCTTTGAACAAAAGGCACAACCAAGAAATCACTCAGTAGTTAGTGGACCCTTTCCTCTCCTTGAACCCAGGCGTCAGGGCAGTAACGTACCACTCTGCATTGCTCATGTAAGTGTGCATTTTGCCCCCCACGACAGCCTTGTACGCACTCTGCGTCTTAGGCTTCCTGACACAGCCTCCTCCCTGCCTCCCATCCCAAACACAAGAGTCCCTCCCCACCTCCTCCGTCTTCAGATCCTGCCCACTCACATTCCTCCATTGCCATGCCGACCCTCTCGTTTTTGTGTGCCGCGCCTCTACCCTGAACACACCTACCTCTCACTGACAGGTCATGTACCACACTCATTTTTTCAGCTGTCTCACAACCCTGGTTATTGCACCGTCAATGTTTCATGCATGAGCCTTGGACGGCAATGTATGTGTTGAAACCGCGACCCATGCACTACTCACTTAATTGCACCGTTTGAGTAATAAGGAAAATATGTCGAACTACTTACTCAATTTGCACCAACTCTAATGATACCAATGGTAAACTAATAGCTTGTATTCAGGACACCTTGTCCCACCAACTTTAGGCAGTAGACAAACTTACCATAGGTTACCTTTTTGGTAATCTAAGAACAGACACACCAACATCCCGTACCTCCCAATAACCCAAGTCCCGAAAAACTGAAGGAAAACATAATCTATCAAATTAATCGAAACAGCACGGCACAAAAAACGGGTATCTCGGACAACTAAACAGTCACCTAATAGTCCCAAAAGACAAATAGGCTACACTATGCAACACTAAGTCCTTAATAATTACAAAATAGAAAAAAACGAAAACACCCCTCAAAAACTCCCCATGCGACTGTGGCGAGTCCAGCACGTTCTGGAGGTTCGTACACCACCCCAGAGGGGACAGACTCCCGTCTCGTATGGTGTGACACTCGTTAATGTACAGCTCCAGGGCCTTGTATTGGTGAGCAGGACATGCTCCGCCACCTAGGTCACAGGTGCGCCGCGGCTAGACGACGACTCACGCCCGCTCCCAGCCGCGACAGGTTATGATGGGCCATGCGGTATAAGATCCGAAGATGGACGATTAATTGCAGCGAAACTAGGGGGCGCGAGAGGAGAGACCGGATCGGTTTAAACCCACGGATCACTTGTCTCTCATCCCTCAAGTTAGCTACGTCTGGTGTGCAATCGAGTCAATCTGTTTTGTCGCCGGTCGTCGCTCGCCGCAGGAAGTCCGTTTGGCTGGTGCGTGGGCGGGGACAGTGTTGCCTGTGCGCATGATGCAAAAAAAAAGAGGGTAGGCTGACCTCGCGCATATCGGGAGCTTGTTCATGTTAATAGGACGTAATCTTCCCCCACAACCGGACTCCCGTGATTTTGTCTTGGGGTTGCTAGGTGAAAAGCCGTCACCTCTGCACACGCCTCGAGTGGTTTGTGAGTTGGAGAAGTTGACATTGAAGACCCACGGAACCCCGCGCGCGCTTATGACAACCCGACGCAACTCGGCGCAAATCTTTATAGGCGAGACTCAAAATCGTACTGCCGCCACACAACTGCCCAACGCAGACCCTATTATAGATACAGGGGCAAGAAAAACAGCAGGGGGAAACAAAAAAAATGTTGGAAACGGGGTGGGCGAGCTCGGCGAAAAACCAAAAACAAAAGATAGGAATAACGAGGGAACGAGACTGTTAAAGGGAAGAAGGAAGAAAAAGAAAAGGCCGGAAGGGAGGGAATTCTGTGCGAGAGGACACACCCGCGTAAGTTGCCCCCCGAGTGCGGGTCGGGAGGCTTGCTACCCGTCGGTTCGTAGCCTTCTGGTAAGTTCCAGCAAGGCAGCTTCGATAGTAGCACCCCCAAGGCAAACAAATTCGGGCCTCAAGAACAGCGACCGGGTGGATATCCGATTGAGTTTGTTTACTCAGGTGATGAATATACGGGAAAAAAATCCACGCTCAATCCTTTACTAGCGTGTGCTGTGTTAAACATCTTATTCTTCTGCTCAGTATTTTTCCTCTCGCCTTCCCCCTTGCAAACACCACCAACACCTAAAACAGGTGACTCAGCCCACTTCACCGTGTTGGCCATCGGGGGCCTCATCTTCAGCTGGCACAGTAGTGATGGCTTATCTATGCGTTGGACTTTCCAGTGCAGACCCGAAGCAGTGTACAAATATCCGTGAGAGCACCCTAATCTGGATTTTCCGTTTCTTCTAGTCATCAACATTGCCTGACTCTATATCTCGGCATGCGTCGTATAACGGTGGTCTCCATTTTCTGGTTGCATTCAATCTGGTCATTTATCTAACCATTTCGGCTTTCGATTTACCTTCAACGCCAAACTACTCCAGGCTAGGTAGTAGAGTAGAAGTAAGTGGTGATGCCCTGCTCCTGACGAATGTCCTGGTTAAAAACGGGCTGTCACTATATGCAACCGGGACGACCATCGCCGAGAATGGTCAATTTCAGCATCGTCCTCCAGTTCTTCAACGTCGAACCGGTCCACAGTTGGGACAGAGTAACCCTTGCCCTCCTCGCTGGAGCCGTTCTACTATATTTTCACACTCGAAAACACCCTACTTCCAGTATTCTCGTGGCGAGGTTCACTGTTATCCGTCGTTATATGGGCCCAATCGGGTTCTTGGCAAGGCATAGGGGTGTCCCGGGTGGAGTGGAGGAATGGGATATGTGCTCTGGTTCTTCTCCTCGGGACTGTGGCACGGAGTTCCTCAGTGTGGGCGTTTGCTTGTTCATTTCTCCAATCCGACAGGCGACCCGAAACCATGGGGAAAAAGGTCCCGTCTACCAAGAGGTGGAACTTGATAATTCGCTTGTTTCGTCTAGTTTGAATTGCTTAGAGATAAATACCTAAGTCAATCGGTTATTATACGCATATTAGCCGCGCATGCGTGCCAGTCCATGCCGCGTGGGCCACGCATATAAAAGTGTGCGTATCTGCCACTTGCCAGTTTACTCTACGTCCCACCACGCCAATCATGGCTCCAACGAACCACTCGCTGCTGGGGCTTTTCTACCTGGTGCTAGGAGTTCGTTGTCTCCCACCGGCTCCCTCTATCACGTTTAGGGTCGGCTTCTACCCGACCTTAACCGTTGCATCGATCTCTCGCAGGTGGACGAGGAGCGACGGGATCCAGTGCCACACGGACTTGACCACCGATGCACAGAAACTCCAGGACAACGGCCGCGGAGACTGGCAACTCCCGACAGCTCCTCCAGCCTCCCGTTTACTCGAGGCGGCATCATCTACATATACCAGGAGAGGGCGACAGACGTGTTGGATCTGTACCGCAGAGACACGGGAAGAGAGGAGTAACGACGCGGGAATGACGGGTGAACGGGG